GCCACTAATAGGACAAAATGTGCATCCTGAAATCCACTGCTAGTCAACACCCACCAAAATTGCTTCAAGTTAAATGATCAGACATCGTGGAGGCAACTACACAGGGAGCTAACATGTTAACAGAAGCCCAGCACTTCGTTTCAACCAGTCAACGGGAAAGTCAGTGTTGAATTAAATAATTACACGCATGATGATGTTCAGAAATTCTGTGGTAAACATGATTATTTCTGCGCCTGATATAACTGGCTCCACAGGAATTATTATGCGAATGACGTCTAATTACGCATTTTTCAAGAAAGAGATGGCTGATAGCTGCGATAGATTTCATCTCTTATTTTCAGGCGCGAACATTGTTCCACTCCTTTTATCCAGTAAATGATTGCTTATATAATAATTATTATTCGTATTATTGTGCACTTGAGTTTCAAATGAAATACTGGGCAACAATAGCACATCTACACAACATCCGATTTTCTCTTGTCCTCTTTTGCTGGGCCCAAAACTGCCCATAACCTCTCACCTTCTCCTCAAAAGACCTCCTTGATGTCACCCTCAGTCCAACACACAACTCGTCGTTTCTTATTCGCGTTCCACCCGAGAGATGGCCTGGCGTGGAATGTCAGCTAACGGACTCCTCAGCGTACTCCCAATCCATCTCAGTCTTCTTCTATATGCTTATTGTTTGCACAATCGGTCCTCGGTTGGTTTGATGCCAGAGTTTCTTGTTACTAATTCGTTCTGACCATATGATCTTCAGTATCGAGTGAAGACAGCCGTTGATGAAAGTCTGCAGTAGCCCGTTCGAAATGCCTTTCGTAACGCACTGGTCACGTTTCTCACTCATATGGCAATTCATGACTTTAAGCCAGACTTTGTGTGCAAAGAAAGTATGTACAATCCCTACTTCTGCCTTGGCCGTAGAGGGATAGACATTTATTTATTTTCCATTTGTAGTTATTCTATGTACTTTCCCCTTATTACTACGATTATTATTATTATTACTATTCTCACTCTGAATCTTTTTCACTTGACCCACTTGACATTTTAAACCCAAAATTAATAATTTATATATTTTTATTTTTACAGTATTGAATTCTATCTTATCAAATTTCACACCATGTTATGTAACATTTTATATTCGTCTACTAATCTTATAATTATGTACCCCTTTCTAAAATCTAAAGACCTTATGTATTATTCTATATACGACATTAATTATTTTGCCACTTGACATTAAACTATGATTATAATCACAAATATTTTAGTTTTAATTGCACTTCATACTATTATTATTATTTCATGTATTCACACATTTGACCTAATTCCCTCACCGGATATAATTTCTTTAAAAATAACCATATATATCCGATTGCACAGCTTGATAATAAATTCGTTGAAAAAAAGTCTCTTCGCTGAATATTGCGTTCGCAATACTTGAGTTTTACCCATTTTAACTCGTTTCAGACCTGCTAAAATCAGTGAGTAATTGTGTTCATGATAAGTTGAGTTTCTGAGGAGATATAACTATTTCCTTTCTCTGGCGTAATTTATGTATAGCCGAGTGAACGTGGGATTCATGAGCCGGTCACTTAGTCAGATTTCAATGTCTGAATGGTCTACGAGCTAGCTTGACTTCTAGCCAGAATGTCTCCCCCTGTCAGTGGGAGAGGTTCGCACTGCTGAGAATTCCCAGAGTAGGGTGATGAAACAGTTGGCTGTCCAGTATTAAAGTCCTCGTTTTCCAATGGTTCTCTAATTGACATCAGCTCATGATGAAATCCTGTAGCCAATCAAATCCCTACAAACCAACACTTAAATAACTCATATAATTATTTCGAGTTCAGAAATTGTGGTGAAACTTTCTTCTTATTCTTCTCCTTGTTTGTTTAACCCAGATATTATCAATACACCATAACTTATATTTTCTTAATTGTGTTCTGGATGAAGGTACGGTGTGGAATCCACTTTTCAATACACGTTTCAAGTAAGATGACTCCATACTAAACTTAAGACGTCGTTGACGGAGACTGAGCACTTTATGTTCAACCTAATTTACCAATGGGAAGCACACATTAAAAGCAGAAAAAAGCAGAGGGTTTCACTGTCGCTCAAAAATATTTATGTATCCCGACAATAATAACAACTTCTGTCAGCTGTCCAAGTCTAAGAGATTCTGAATCCATCGCCAGTTTTAGAAGACCGCGCCTAATATGCAGAATACTATGCATGCTAACCGATGCGGAACAACAGAAGACAGTAGGCTAATACGACTATTTGTTCATTCACCAATAACGAAACGGATTTACAAGCTACTCAGAGCAAAGTCTGTAAATAAACGTCAATATAATGTACAATAATACTTCTGATAGTATTTCTCTAGTCCTCTGTCAACCAGTTTACAACTGAGTAAGGATAGCTTTCTTGTCTCTCAACAAATGGGGACCACTTCAAATAAACAATCAATTCAATGTTCACCAATACTGACAACTTCATTCTGCACACAAACCAACATAGAAGTGTTGATAGTCCCAATAACAACCTTATTTAAACACACCAGTAGGTGTTTCCGAGCACTACTGCGGTTGAATAATGGTGTTGCTAAAATTATCGACAGCTCCATATTGGACCATCTTGTGAAAACAGGCAACGAAGCTAACACTGAAGACAATATTCATGAAATAAGCAATAGATTGGGAGGTCCAGTCAAGTGTGAGCGTAGATATTCCAGCGATGACATTGGTTGATAATCACAACTGGTAGAAGTGAAAACTCATGGGTTAGCGAGTGATGTGTTGGGTCCCAGTGGCTGAGTGGTCTACGAGCTTGTTAACCTTGTAATCAGAAGGTACGTAGTGCAGATTATTCTCAAACTAGACTAATGAGACAGCTGTCCAGTACTCTAGTGCTGGTTTTCGATGGTTCTCTAACTTATATTAATCTGTGATCAACTTGTAAAAATAGACTGGGAATAAAATCTATTAATAGTACAAAATCATATCATAGTAACAGCTGCATTCTGAACAACTTTCATATAAAATACGGAGTTAGTTGCGTGATATTTGCTCTCTTCGTCCAAGATCTTCAAATAAAAGATTAAATGAAAATAGATCGTGTGACACAGGTCTGTCTGGCCTGAAGAACAAACCACTCCATTCCGACGACATTTTGTTGAATGAAAGTTGTGAAATATAGAGGGCTGCATTTTGTGTATCAAGTACATCAATGCGGAACAGTCCCCTCATGTATTGGAATAAGCTGCCATCGAGGATGTTTAATAGAAGCTTGAGAATCAGCAGGCTGTAAATATTTTAAATCATACCCAGAGTACACAATACTATTGGAAGTCATATTTCACTAGATTTAAGCAAATTGAATAAGAGAATTCCTGTGGAATATATTGATGAAGGTTTCCAGTAGCAAAAATTTCAAGCAGGTCACCATTCATACTTGCGATATCTATATACACGCCATTTCGAACCTTGACTGACCGAAATACTTTTTTAGAAGTTGAGTGATGTCTCCCCGTACGCAAGAAACGCCTATATAAAAACGAAATCTTATATTTTCAACTTCCAGTGTACTCGTCCTACTGAGACCAGCTAACTCTTCCGAAAGCTTATCACCAGTAGAACAAACAGAATGTCTAAAATACAAAATGTATCTTGGAATACGAGCGGTAGGACGCTTATGTTTGCTTAACTAGCTACACAGTGTGACTACGAACAAGCGAACGTTACACAACAGCGTGTCAAATGGTTCAACTTTACTTTGACCAACCGACATAAACAAGTAACTTCCGCGCCCAGCATCGAATGAGATGAAACCTGCACTTCGATAATCTTGTGGAATTATTCGCCAATACATATTTTCCATGAAACATACACTGCCTGGAATAATACCTTTTGTTTGTGTTTCAACTTCGTTAAATGTGTCCTGAAGTCGGACATCAAATTCATCTCTTTCTGTAGTCCTTTACCAAGGTGAAAGAGGAAACATCACAGTGGACTGTAACGACAAATGAATTCAAGCATACTAACAGTATAAATCAAATGGCTATCTGTGTGCATCAATTAACAGACTTCACCGATTTATGAGTTAGATTTTTAGATTTCATTTTCAGAAGGAGTGAATTATTTGCAATATAACGTGTAATCGTTGTCTAGAATAAATTGATTATTGGTATTCTTATGACAGTCGTGATTATTTTAAGGAGATCTGCTAATGATGATGAACCGCAAATCTTAGCCTAATTAAACATTTGAATCTTTTCGGAATATAATTCAGAAATCTAGATGACAAGGTTCATAGTCGAAAGAAAAGCGCAGGTCTCATTAACACTCTACTCAGTAGACAAATCATTAACACCATATTCATCATATTGGTTGGTGATTCATCATTTCGCATGACTAATATCTTCAATTCCTCATTTCAAACGATCTACTCTACTCTAATCTACTCCACTCTGGTCTGCTGCAGTCCACTGGATAAAACAGCTAACGGGGGTTGTCTCATACAGCGCCAGAATTTTTCGATTTGAGGAGGAAATGGAGGTGGATTGGAGACCATACTCTTAGGAAACAAACCATCAAGTGACATCACATACCAGGCTGTCTCTCTTTCTCTCGAGTGGAACGTGAATGTGAAGTGGCGAGTTGGTCGTCAACGCGAGATTGACATGGTGGAGGAGGTCATTCGAAGAGCACATGAAAGCATACGGATAGAAGTGGAGCTAGGTGAACACGTTGGCGGAGAACCCAACGCAATGGAGACGTGTGGCTGAAGACCTATTTTCCTCTAACACCTAAACGAGACAATAATAACAATAATGATCATAATACGGAAAACATTGTATTGACAAATCTCCACAGAAACTATATTTCATAATTAAAAGATACTTAGTTTCACAGTGCATGAGCAAAAGACGATTACAAAACACTCAGTCATTGGATTTAATCACAAAGCAACGTGTTAAACAAACTTCATTTCACTGCAGCATATTCTCAGTGTCTATGAGGTTTGAGTTTTTCCTTCAATTTCTCCACATCGTTGGATATTTTCTCGAAGGCTACTGATAATCGTTCCATAATTTTGACTACTGTTTTATAAAACGCCAGTGTTATGTGATCTAGAGTTTTCGGTTTGTAAAATTTAGGGGGTGTTTGCACTGCTACACTGACTGATTTAACTTTGTGTCCTTCTTTGTTTCCTCCTTGTGTTGAAGCTCCCTTTATGCCTTCCATAGCTGGATTAGAAACTGATGTTGATTGTAGGGGCACTTGAGCAACCGCCGACTGCGTGCTTTGAGCATTCTGTGTACCCGACAATGAATGAACTCCTAGATTGGCTTGCAGTAAAGCTAGTATAACGGTGCAGACAAATACATCCATAGCAGAATCAAATATCGTTATATCACATTAGCATGTTCTAACAAATCAGTTTTTATATAAATATACTTAAATGACATAAAAGTCACAAGATTTTGTCGAAAGTGTTTACAACCAATTGGATTCGACTCACATTGATTGTTTATTTACATTATTTGTGAAGGCATGAAATAATACCACTTCCATACATTGAGGGGGGTGATAATGTCAGTTGTATCAGGGGTTAAACAAATGGTCTTTCTGTGATTGTCTGGCTCTCCAATGATTGAATTAAGATGCTACGGTGATTGTAGCATAAAGGGGACTGTAATAGAAACTAGGTCTAACACAAAATACCTTGTATTTGTTCATGCTTTTTGCAATCAGCAAAACATATAAGGTGTAGAGGTCTGCGAACAGTTCTCCATTCTCATTTATTTCATATTTTTAAGTGAAATCGGCTGATAGCCGCTCACGAATTTCATCACAAAAGAGTCACATTTGTTGAAAGAAATTCACTTTGTTTAGCATTTGACTGGGATATATTTTTTAAATCTGTGAACAGACAAATTCCCTATTCACATGTTGGTTTGCAGGGATTTGATTGATTGTTTACACGATTTCATCGTGAGTTGACATTGGTTAGAAAACAGTGTCAGCTCGTGATCAAATCCTGTAACCAATCAGACCTCTCTCAAGAAACACTCAAATAGTAATCTGATGCCCCCTATCGAATGGCCCTATTCAGCTGGTAGTTACTTCGGATCTGGTGAGAAGTTGTGACCAATGGCTTAATAGGCTTGGAGTTCACCTAGTAACCGGAAGGTCACGGATGCACACTGCTCCAGATTCGCAAACTAGGCCTACGAAATAGCTGTCTGGCTGTTTTTCCAGTGGTTCTCAAACCGATGTCAGCTCATGATGAAATCCTGTAACCAAATTCCTTATTATTTTTGAAATGTAGTCAACATCCATACCTTCGAATTGAGGTTTAACTTTCACTCCTTTTTACTCCTCCTCGTCAGGATGCTACATCTACTGTGATCCTCCGTTGACTTTCAATTTAGTAAATCTTATGGCTTCATTATTATGTCAATTAATGATACTGTAGAAACTGACTGATGTATAACCAGGGTAAGTATTCCGGTATCACCATTCATTGCTACCATTCTATATTACGATATACATTGTTTGATAGGGAGATATGAATCTTCGGAGCATGATATACTTAAGATTTCATGCTCCATTCTGCAAAGTGTATTGTATATACGTTGTTTCTTTCGCATTCCACAGATACAATTTTTGAAATAATTTGTTGATTTTTCATGACTCACTGATTAACGTTAAGTGAGTATTTAATGTGACGTTGAAATAAACACTAAAACTGTACCTTTGACCATTCACTGTAGGGATAGAGGTAAATCACAGGTGAAGATACTTATTTTATTCTTTGTGAGCAGCAAGTGGAACATTGACCTTCAAGCTAAAGCTGTGAAATCTCAGTAGCAGTGGTGTTTATTACGAAGTTGGATTGCTAGTCTCATGCCGTGCCTTCCCCTTTTGTCAGGCTTATAACCCGCTAAGAAGGCTGAAAGTGTGCGTCGGCCGAGATTTGAAACCCAGACCAACCACGTGAGTGGAGAGCATTCTACTTTCAAGCCATCAACACATAGGTAAAGATAATGAAGATTAGATTCTGTAATGTATCATTAACCCAGAATCAAAAATTTGTGGTCTAAGTAACACGGTGATACTTCGGCTCATTGTGAGTATAAATGGAATCCAGAATACACATTTCGTCCCATTTTGACCTCATCGTCAGGATACACTCGCACCTTTCCAGTGAGTTTGAACCGACGAGTGCTGGTCCTCGAGCCTCGAAAAGAATCTAGCTGTCAAGTCGCAGACAAGATGTTCCACAATTAGCCACCATTCACTAAAATCAAACACAAATGTTCTCTAGTACAATTTCTTTCTTAAGACTACTGGTCAATTACTCATTGTTGAGAATATTCACTCACTAATCTTATTTTCATTTATGACAAAAGGTCAACGATGGATGAAAGATGATCACCACACTCTGTCCATTTTGTAGACTATCAAATACCACCAACCAACAGAAACTTGACACACACGGACATACTCACACACACACACGGACACCTAAACTCTTTTCTCTGCAATATTTAAAGTTAACCTGTCTCAGCTGTACTCATTCTCTTTTATTCACAGCATGTCAAAAAAGGAAAAAATTGAATAAATATCCATCCATCGAACATTGAACATTGAATAAACTGAATCATACTGTGATAAATACAAAAATATGAAACTACCAGATATCGTGTTTTCACGCGTATTCCTCCTGAACATCTTCCTATCCTTCATCACATTTTCAATGAAATGTTGTCAAGCAACATTTGACATTGTCGCAGTAACTGATGATGATGTTGAACACACTTTGTCAAAAAGACAATTTCAAATGAGTATAGAAGAAGCTTTGAGAAGAATAGCTGCACAAACTCCAGGCGGTCAATCTACGCTGAGTGAATCACAGTTAACAGAACTGATAGGCGCCGACGGGAGCACAAGATATCAAGGATCAGTACTACAAGAATTCAGAAACATTGCTCAATCAATCACTAAATTCCGTCCTGGGAATTCTTCAATTAGGAATCATCGAAATGTGTGGATGCAGGTCATCAAAGTAATTGTGTTACTTTACACTTGCAGTAAACTCTTCAGATATTTTTCTTAGTGCGATCGATTACATTTTTTTGTTTTTGAAAAATGACTTTTGCATATTACATATGTCGGAACCAAGTTCACTTCTAACAGTTTGAAAAAAAGATGGGCATTGGTCATTTCATATTCATTACAATAGTGTTTTTCTATATTTCTCAATGAATGACGTTTCGCTATTAAATGCTAATAGCTTTATCGGAGTATTATTAATAAACCAGAATTTACAAAATTCACTGAACTTATGTGGAACAATTACATCATCCTTCATCAGTGTGGGGTCATTTTTGCGTTGCTGTCAAGTTGGTCAACCGGTAAAGATAACAAATCCAGGTGTAGATTGCTGGATTTGATAAGTGTATAAAATTATCAAAGCAGCGTGTGTTTACACAATGAAGTTGCCTATCACATCCGTGTTGATTTTATCATTTCATGGAGTGGGGATGGGGTATTCCAACCAGGTCAAATTCTGTTTTAGTCCATCATTAGTATTCAGAAAATTCGGAATCTGTTTGATATGAAATGCTCCTAATGTGATAATTTCTTTGTAATTTCTGAAATTTTTCCCGATTACTTCAAGATTGCCAACATCAATTTTGTGGCCTGATTCTATAGGGTGTAGACTAGCTATGGTTGATAACTTCTGGAGCTCTCGTAGTTCAACTGGATTTCTTGGTGATCGAACAGATGCCCCACGGTGTTCATTTCTTCTGATTACCTTGACTTCTCTCTGTGGCGATGTTTATCCGATGCATGTCGCATCATATTCCGTGCATTTAATGTTGTGGACATAATTAGACTGAGAATCCTTAGAGACTTGGTCTTCTATATGGACAAGGTTGATTTGTAGTGTTTGTGTGTTTGATGTTTTGAAGAAAACTTTGATGTTGTTTATGTTTATTTAGTACTCTTCTGGTATCATCTGACGTATCTGATGGTCTCTATGGAATGACAACTTGTGAGGTTCAATTTTTTCGCAATACGTTTTCAACCATATTTAATTTTGGCGTTGATTTTTTTGATGAAGTTCTTCGGGGAGTTATTTTGCTTGAGAGTCTCAGTAGTGTTTGATATTTCTTCTTCTTTTTCCTTCTCATCCGCCATCACAAAAGAGTGTGCTCGTCTAAGAAGACTTGGAACCACTGATACCTTTGCGCTGATGAGGTGGTTTGATGATCCGAAATCTTAAAATTTGTTGAAGTGCATTTTCTTCTTGAATTTAGATATAAAAAAAATGTTCGTTTACCCTCTTCTTGACTAGACAGACAGTCTAGTAATGGCAGTTCACCAACGTTTGGTTCTTCTTCCGAAGTAAACTGGATGCGCTGGGAGATAGATTGTTTATTTTCTCCAAGAATGAACTGTGTAGATCTCGTTTTAGCATTTCAAAAGTATCGTCTACATATCTTAACTTTGACTTTTCTATATTTCTCTTAATAACTGGACGGTCATCAATGATTTATCAGATAAATGGTTTATTGTTAAAACTGGTGTTAGGTCAAACTGCAATTCCTCGATTACTGGTCTTATTTTTTATTCAGTAATGAGTGTAAGAAATGATTCGTTGAATTTGACTATACTTAGCAGCTTTTAAATAACCACAAACGGCTTCCGCTTTTCAAACACGTAAGCGTATTTGTCACCACCGTTAGTTTTACTTATCATTATTATTGTTCTCTTAGGTTCCAAGTGGAATGAAAAACTGCAGTATTGTATCAACATTTCGATAGAACGTATGCCTAATATTTCATCATTCTCTATAGCCTATCACATGATCCAGTCCACTGCAAGTACTGAGATGAGTTGGTGATAGTAGACAAGCTTGTCTAACTTCTCTCTCCACCTACAAACACCTTGAGTGAGTTTTCCCTAATGATAATCAGTTGGTAGTCGTATTCGTCGAATTGTTGTTGAATAAGGTTTATAAGTGTTCGAGTTAAGATACTCCACAGTAATTTGGCAGTTGTTAATTTACTTTGTGGTTTATACTGTAGAAGGTCTGTTCTGACGCCTAATCAAAACACTAGGCCAGGTAGTTCTTGTCAATTATTAGGCTGAAAATATTTTCGCGTATATTTTATGTTTGACTTGAAGCATAAACTACCATTATTTAGGAGTACTGTGTTCCATATTGACGCAGTTGAATATTAAGAATTGAGTACCAGTTGATTAGAGCTTGAGTAATAATGAGAATATAATTTCCCGAGGCAAACGTGCGAAAAATGATTGCATTGACCAAATTTATTCGAGTATTGCTATTGTAAGGAATTTTGTTTGATTGGCTG